TGCCCGCTGCAAGTTTCGAACTGCTTGGCGTTCTTTGAGTGATATTACCATTAGCTGCTGTAACGTTTGTTCATGATGAAAGAAGCGCAAAAATACACACACTCAGAGAGGACACAGACAAGCGCTTACTAGCAACTGAAAATTTAATTTCGAAGCAAACACTAATAGATACATCACACGAGAGCGGACAGTGGTCATCCCGTATCTGCACAATATTTCACATACGTTGAAAAAAGTTGCATTAAGGTATGGCGTGCGGGTTGTTTTTTCAGCTGAAAACAAATTATCAAAGATTTGTCCAGCGGTAGAAAGGCTGGTCAACAAGAAAGTAACTGGAGAATCGAACAGATGTAGCATAAAGCATGGCAGAAGGTTTGTTGAGTGCAAAAAAAGATGTTGTATACGGAACTCCTTTCACATGTGGAAAGGAATACGTTGGTCAGACGGGTCGGTGCATAAATGTGCGCCTTCGTGAACATGAGAGTTCACTAAAGGGGGCCCCTCACTCAAACTTAGCGATTCACTGCAAGGAGTGCACCTGTCAACCGAAATTTTCCGACGCACGAATAATAGACAGGCACAACAAGCGGACGACGAGAGAAATATTGGAAGCGTATAGAATAAGGAAAGGAGGGGACAGTTGCGTCAGCCAAGCGTCAGTTCTACTAACAGATGCTGAATTTGCTTTTTTGGACGTCACATAACCCAGTGCTTTTCTCTGTGTTACGTTTTTTTGTTTTTTTGTTTCTATGGTTTTTCTGTTTTTTTGTTTCTTTGTTTTTTTCTCACATTTTCTTTTCTTAGTTCTTGCCACGTGTTTGTTTTCGGTTCTGGGCGCGCGCATATTTTGTTATATCACGTTGTTGATGATGACAGGGGAAGTCGGGAATGACGTGCCTGTGTGTGATGTATTTATTAGTGTTCGCTTCGAAATTAAATTTCCAGCTGCTAGTAAGCGCTTGTCTGTGTCCTCTCTGAGTGTGTGTATTTTTGCGCTTGTTTCATCATGAACCTTTACCAACACGCCTCACTGGCAGTCATCCTAAACGTTTGTTCATTTGCCCTTGTGACGAGATCAATCACAATAAACGCCCAGCTTGCTCTGTGAAAACACGTTTTATTTTCGTGTTCTACTGATTTCTCGACAGAGTGATAAGCCAAGTTTTTTTTTTAACGTTTCGAGTAAACACACGCATCGTATGCAGAATGTCGTCATGATCAGCGATGCCACATCTGGCAGTGCTACAAGCCGCGGGCGTGCTACAAGTTCCAAGAAACAATTCTTTTTCCTCAAGACCCTTTCCAGCCTCCCTAGTGAAAGTAAATGATGTCACGAAGTTTAATTTGTGAGGCGGGGTGCAAGTGATGCTGCGATTGGTTGAACAAGAACCTACGACTTCCGGTTAGTCTGCGAGCAGCTGTCCGCGCTCTTTCTTTTTCTTCCTCGTGTTGTCCGGAGGGGAACTTGGCGAGGATGCCAAATTAATTTCAGGAGATAAGACCAGAACACGAGTGAAGAGCAGTAATGGAAGTAGCAAAAGGAGCGATCACCGCGTTTCGGTCATTAAACGCGTCTAACTCCGCTATACGGCACCGGTTGGAATGATTCTTGCGGCTGGGTGTTTCTTGTATAAATTCATGCACAATTACCCCCCCCCCCCCCTCGTCAAATTAATTTCAACCACTAGGTGGTTTAACGGTCCTTTAAAGCGCCTAAGTACAATGAGAAGCACGCATAGCGCTCGTCGCGTGCGCAATTCGGTGAAGATTGCTATTACATTAGCTGCCTTTTGCAGGAAGCACCAACTGCATCATATGAAGCAAGTAAGGAGGTGATCACACATATAGATATAAAAAAAGAACAACATGCCTAGCAGCTGATGTCATGTGTGTTTTAATTCACTGTATTAAAATAACTTTGTACTGTGCAACTAACTGCATTGCTGTCAATCATTTATAATAGTATATTCCTCAATTGTTTAAAGCTACCAAGCAATGGTTTATCGGTTCAGGTGGTACACAACTTTACTGGACAGCCAGGCTCACAGCACGATTTAGCGCATATTGTCACTTTTTAGCAGAGGTGCTGAACAATCGTGAAAAGGTGCAGGAAGGTTAATATATGCTAACAATTTCACTGAAACTGTTTCGGCTTTTACTTTGCAGTAAGCGCATTCATCGTGACGGCGTTACACATAATGCAATCACATGGTAGCAGGACGTGATATTCACGCGACGTTTTGGCACTCGCCCTAGTGCGCTCAGTTGCCCTACGCCCCGCGTAGAGCACGACAAGCGGAAACATTAATGTGTATTTCTCCCCTAACCACAAGTGTCCAGAAGACGCGTGCATATGCTGGAAAACGATATTGCGCTGCTTCAAGTTATTTGTAACATGAACCCACTCACCTTTACACGGAAGTCGTTGTGACAGTAGAAGCGGTCATGAATAGCTGATATGATTAAGCATTAGTAGTTCTTTGGGAAAACAGTGAGTTCATTGATAATAATGCAATTTAGTTTCAAACTTTCCCAATGGGAACTCTTATAGCTTGTGAAGCACTTAGTAGATGGAGGCGGAGGCATAGTAGCAATTCTCTATTATTTTCGCTTTGTTGTAAGAGTGAATGCCCATGCGCGACCAACATTGACACTATCCTACAGCTAGCAAACAATATCAAACAGTTAGTCAATATGTGCAAGCACTTGCAAGCAGTCAACCTTAACTAGTGCTTGTATATGTCAGTAAGCATGGTACTTAATGCACGCATGTCATGCTATGTTGTGTCCCGAATATCCTCATTTCACAGCTAAAAAATAACAGCTAAAACACAATGTCATCTGTCATTCACGCTATAGCATAGTCGAATAATGGTGTGAGATAAAGTTCGTATGTCGTGGCACTCGTCTAATCACACCGCGTACTTTGTCAGGCACGTTTGCCACGCCATCCTCCTCCTGATCTCATCCTCCTTTGCCCCGGTCTTTGTAGGGCTCACGAACAGCCAGTCTTGCTCTGTGGGGTGACAGCTTGAGGCAGTTGCAAGCTCTGACAGTGTGCACAGGAGCCGGTGCAGCTCAATAGACATAATTACCTGCTTTCAGCCCATGACATCGTGTAAAGGTGCGCTTGTTTTAACGAAGATCCACGCTCCCTCAAGGCACTTTCGGCACCTCCATTCCAAAAGATGACGCGTTTCAATTTATAACACGTGCCTACTGCGGAATCTTGCATTTTCAATTGAACAAACGAACCCTTCAACGGTGTCATTCGTGCAATGCTGGTCAGCATGTCTACTAGGCCGCGCGTGCTCCTGGGCACATCACGTCAGAGTTCGCAACTGCCACAAGGTGTCACTCGATAGAGATACACCGGCTGCTCACATGCTCTACAGAGATGTCGACGCCACGTACTTTTCGACATGTACCCAATTAAATAAAATAATGGAACAGTCACTGAAAATAGATAGATAGATAGATAGATAGATAGATAGATAGATAGATAGATAGATAGATAGATAGATAGATAGATATTGTGTAAAAGTGTGTTGCAACTAAAACGGTAGTGTGGGGGCGTCAAACACTCGATATAAAATACAAGGTCACAACAAAGTCAGTTTTCATATGTATCATCAATGATAAAGGAGCTAATGCTCAGCAATACTGGTCAATCATGGGCCGCTGCGCTGGGATTACGGGATTACATGAGTCAGTGAAGCCATATTTGTGGTTCTGCGTAATAAAATAAACTCCATAAACTGAATATTCATTGCAGTAACAAAAATATTGAAAGAATTTTAAATGATTGTTAAACAGCGCTTCCATACAAAGGATGAGTATTCCACCCAAGCAATGTTACCGGTGGAAACAGTCACCGATAAATCAATGCGCAGGCAAATTGAAAAAATTTAGAAACTCAAAACAGGCGCTCAATAATAAAGTTAGTAATGTTTGAAAATGCGTATTTTGCTAGAGCACTAGGGTGGTACTATATTTTGTGGCAATGCAATTTTACTAATTCAGTGCTTTTATGCTTATTAAGCAGTGAACAAGAGATGAGGCTTTACTGTTTATATTCCTGTGTCTGTGCAGAAACACATGGCAAAACGAAAGAGACACCCCACCTGTGTCTCTTCCGTATATATTTAAAAAAAATAAAAAAACTTTTATATTGCAGAAGTTCCTGAAAGCAAGCTGCAGTCAGTACTGTTGATTCGGATGTTACAACCGCCGTTATTGAGTCAATGGTAAAGAGCTCATGTGAACGAGAAATCGAGAGCATTGGTATATGCCGAGCACCATATTCTATGAAACCATTCGAACGCCAACGCACCGGAGTGGCGAGACACGCGTCGACAACGGAAAACTGCAAATGTGTGCTACAGCGTTCTCTAATTCTATATGCGTCGAACACAATCAGCTGCAAGAGTATGCAAAGATTGTAATAGATAGCATTTCGAAAAACAAATACTGCGAGAAGCCCAAGGCAATAACAAATTCAATATATCAATAATGTGTTCACAGTTCAATATCGTATTCATTTTGAAAGTTAAGTAAGTAATGACCATATCAATGTCAGAAAATCAAAGCGTAAGCTAGCTGGTATAGCACATAACTCACACAACAGCGCAAAAAACCACACGGATGGCGCTGGAGCAAGGCGGGACAGAGCGCTGTCTTCCTGCTTGCTCTTGCGTCGTCCGTTTGCTTTTTTGCGCTAATGCATGAATCGTAAAATGAACTCTATAACACGGAGCTGCACATGAAATAAAAAGGCAACATGATAGCTCGTAATAGACACGTTGCAATATTTGTGCAATAATTTCACGTTGTATTTGGCACATAGCCTGAAGAACTTTTATGGTTTTCAGAGCATTTCATGACGGAATTGGTGAATAACTCACTAACTCCATCTTGAAGGGCTCGCTCTTATGACCACAACACCTAGGCATTATCCTCGTATCCAGCAAAACTACAGTAGTTACGTCAGCACGACTTACCAGTAAGGACACGCCTATTGCAAGTAGGAGCACGTGCCAGTAAAAGCGGCGTAGCGCCGCTGACATACTCCAGGGAAGTCTGCAGTAATTCTCCATTGGTTGAGAGCAGACGTTGGCCACGTGCTAAGCTGCCAGTGTCAAAGTGGTTGCGAAAAGACACAGATGAAGAACGCATGCATCAGAAAGCTGGCCGTGCCTTCACTGTCTCGTGAGCTCGGGTTCACAGCGAGGACGAACACATCGAAACGTCATGATGGCAGTGAGTTGAAGTGGCACGCGATTCGGAGTTCCTTCGTCAATACCGTCCTTCACAACCTCTCTATAGACGCCAGATCGACAGCGTGTGGTTTGCGCAGGGTGTCTTTCCGATGCGTTGAACTGAGGAATTACGAAGCGCACCTGGGCTTTTGCTGCACTGCCGGTGAGGCAAACCCCGCAGATCACCGCATGCGTTGCTCGAAAGAGTTCAAGGCCACGGATGCACGAAAGGCGAGGAAGCGTGGCCCAGCGTAGGTACTGGCGAGCGGGCGACTCGGTCGGTCGGGCAGCGGTGGCGGCAGCGACAGTTCTAGGCCGCCGGCGGACAGGCGGGCAACCCAGTAACCGCACCGAGCGGCTCTTGCCCTCTCAGCGCGTGCTAGCGGCGACTGGCGCCTTGCGACGGGACCAATGATTCCGGTGCGCGTGTTTGCTGTGTGGGTCCTTCCTTCAGCTCCCTCTACAGCTGGCTGCCGTTCGTGTCGCCTGTTCGACCTTCTCTCGAGTGGTCGAGTAGCTGGAGAGAGAACGAAAAGAGACCAGCAGAACACGCTGTGGTGGCGGTCTCTCGACCCGCGTCGTGTCACCTAACGTGGAAAGGGCCGCTAGCTCTTGCCACGGCCATCAGTTTGCTTATACGCCCCGAGGAATAAATACTACGGGGGGGGGGGGGAGCGCACGACGCTTCTGCTCAGAGATCTCGGTGAAGGAGACCGTGGGCAGAGAAGCAGTGTAAGACGTTGAACGATAGCTGACCCGGTTTTAGCCGCGTGATGTCTATCCTTTCATCTCAAGCTGCGATGCATGCAGTGCGGCTTACCATGTTGGCCCTTGCGTAGAGCTGTTTTGTTGTCTTAGAGTAAGTCTTGAAGGAACCTCTGTGAGCCACTCGCATTGCATTTTACTAGACTGTTTGGATAAGTAAAATAGAGAGGCATGCACAACGCAGTTCGGAGGCTTAGCCATTCATACTCAAGAGATCTAACACGCGTCGTTGGTAGACAAGCAGAAGTTAAACACATATAAGAAATGCTACTTGGCTGGTTACGTGCTCTTCAGTAGCGTCACCAGGGCACTCTGACGAACTAGGACACATATTCATAACTAGGTCACATAATCTGTAACGAACGAAAAGACAGAGAGCGCTTTTTCAGTACGGCCACAAGCCTGGTCGGGTTGGATGCGTGAGGCATGCATACGTGAACTCGTGATCACTCACAGGCACACTTACATGCATGTTCACGCTAAGCAAGTACACTCAGTCATTACTGCTATGAATTTCTAGACCATAATAAAGTGCTTGCAAATGATCAGAAATTGGAGAGTATCGAGTTTCATCAGAATGTTTAACTGGACATGTTTGTGTGCTTGGAGTTTGAACGGCTGAATGACATGACAGGAAACGAGGACGAGAATAAGATACTTCGTCTTAACGTTATTTTCTGTTGCGTTGCTTGTTTGTTCAAGAAGGTATCCGGTTTCAAGACGTCAACTTGACAATATCAAGGAAAACAATTATGCCGAAAAAATGCGCCAGGATAAACTCCATGGCAAGAGAGAAAAACATAAATCAGACAGCAAGAAAAACACGAACAGTTCCAAGTGTTTTTCAGTTTGTTGTGCCTGAAGTTGGGATACCGACCTTCTCCGGCTGTGTTGAACAAACTATGTCACAGCGAAGATGTATACATCTCATTGGTCGAACAATTTGTCGTCTAAACGCAAAACGCCAGAAAGCTGTAAATATAAAACAATAAAAAAACTTCGGTTCGAGTAAAAATTGAACCAAAGCCTTCCGCGTGAAAAAAAGGTCTTATAACAGTGAGCCACGTTACTTTCTTGTGAGGGTTTACTGCATGAAAATATTACCGGTATTTACAGTGAGCCTCGCACTACATATTTCACATTAGAAGTACTTTACCATGCACAATACCAACACTGTTCGAGCGAGAAAGAGGCATTTCAGAAGTCAGGCGAACACTTACTAGCGTTCAGAAGCGCAAGCCACTTCCGAAAAGGCTCAAAAGTCTCAAGAACACTACGCACTTGAGCTGCTTCTTGCAAGAACGACCTCATCGATCATGGTCGCTCGGCATGTCTGCCTCACATGCGACTGTTCTATAATGAATAAAGCTCTCGTAACATCAAATAAATATATGGTGTACTATTAGTGGGACCCTTTTTAAAAAGAGGAACCTAATGAGTTGTTATAGGAAGCTATTTTCTTACTGTTGTCTTTCCTCAATGTTCTATAAATAAAACGCGTCACGGCAATGAATAAAACAATGCTCTGTCGCCTCAAATTGACTGCAGCAATAACAATTTACAGTCCAGGGGCGCTATGCAGGATCAGCCAAGTTTCGCGAAAGTCGGGATTTTCCCAAGCTCTGGCGACACCCCTTTACGAACGAGCCAACAGTACTAAAAAAGTTTTGCCCCACTCATCATCATTCACAGTTTATATATGCTCTCACTTTTTGGCGGGAAGATATAGTTCGCTGCTTTTTCATGGCATGATATTTTCACTGGTATGATGGATGTGTGTGGCTTAAAAAAAAACCTTTATCGCTGCTGGTGATATACACATTCTACATACGCGGAGTAATACACGCACGGAATATTGCAAGACAAAAGCAAAGATGGCATTCGGTAAAGAAGTTCAGGCAAATAGTTAATAACAAATGCAGCACTTAGCGGTGTTCTATCACTATTATAACTATACTGTAATGTACACATAGCTTTTAAAATGTTGACAATATTGTGGGCATTTAGTATACCCATCCTCGTCACCTGTACATTATCATCATTATCATGTGTTGCTCATGCATCCTCATCGTGGTCGCGTAGCATCATCATCTTGGTTCCTTTACCGTAGCTGTCGGCTGCTGGTTCCTCGAGCCTAATAAAGGTCTTCCACACCAAGACTTCATACGTGGTGGAGCGTTCTGTTAGATCCCCCGTCGTGCTTTCGACCACTCTACCCCCTGGAGCTACGTTCAGGTCGCCGCTTGGGCCAGGTGTCCGGAAATATGTCACACTAAGATGAGGTTGGTGCTGCAGCCGTTCCCACTCCGCCACTGCGTTCCGCGCCTTCTCATGTCATTAACAGCCTCCAGCGTGAGCCCCCTCCCTTCGCTGGTATGCGCGGAGAAGATGCGGAGGAATGGCTGGACGATTTAGAACGTGTAGGCGCTGCTAACCAGTGGGATAACAGCTACAAACTCGCTCACGTCTCATTCTACCTCACGGGTGTCGCGAAAACGTGGTTCCTCAACCACTTCACCGACATCCCCGACTGATCAGCCTTTAAAGATCATCCTCGCCATGTCTCTGGCACACCGGCTGTTCGTTCAGCTCTCTCAAAGAAAGCTCTCGTGACTCGGAAACAGCACATTGGGGAGTCGTATACATCCTACATCGAGGATGTTCTTTCACTTTGCCGCCGGGTTGACACACTGATGACAGAGTCAGACAAGACCCGCCAGCTTCTTAAGAGGATTGCACCCATCACATTCAATGCCCTTGAAATCCAGAATCTGGCTACCGTTGCTGACGTTGCGACAACCTGTCAGCGCCTCGAAGAACTTGAGTCTATGCGCCTACAACCAGACAGTGACGCGGCCCGTATTACGGCGGATCCAAACCTACGAGACACGATAAGGGGGATTATACGCGGAGAATTAGAATTAATGGGTTTCACACTACTTTCAGTGTGTCTCATTCAGTCTTCTTTAACGTCATTGCGGGATGTCATCAGGGTGGAGCTCACGTCCATGACCCACATGGCCCACCTGCAGCCTACTGTCGCTCGTACTCTCCCGTCATTCTCGCATGCCGCCAACGCGCCATCAGGCACAATCAGCTCGACGTCGCCTCCACGAACGTACGCGTTGGTTGCTGCGGCACCTCCTACAAGCTTTTCCACGAGCTTTCCATCACCACCGCCTGAGCCGTCATTTGCCCCTCTCACTGCTCTCTGTCCCGGTGCAGTTAACGCAAGCTACTAACCCCTTACTGATCGACTCACCATACGTGCTATTATTGCGGCTATCGTGGTCACATTTCCCGCTTTTGCCGCAAGCGCCAGCAAGACGAACGTCGACGGTACGACGTACGCGAACAGGACTATACCGCAGGAGCCTTGTACCTGGGCCGCCGTTAATCGTCACCGCCATGTCGGTCTTCATCTCAGCCAGCATCGAGTGAACTACGCAGTAGTCATCGATCAAACCGAAGCCGTTCAACATCGCCCTATCGTCGCTGCTCTTCTCCTCTTTAGCCTTCTTCCCTCGCTTCTGATTGGCGTCCGGAAAACTAAGCGATGCAGTTTTTGGAGGACAAAAAGAATTCCAACACAGGACTCCAATTCCTCCAGCACATTCGTGCTGATTTGTTTGTCCGTCTTCAAAAAGTCACGAAGACTTATGATGGACCAACACTGGTTACAGCCCAGGGAACAATGATTCGCCCTTCCGCTGTCTGTACTGCCCGTGTGCTAATCGATGACATTTTTCATCATATAGAATTTGCTGTGCTATTCACGTGCTCTCAGGAACTCCTTTTTGACTGGCACTTCTTTTCCTCTGCTTACGCGGCTATTTGTTGTGCACAACGCGTCGTCCATCTTGCTGACACAGACCATTTGCTCAGCGACGAAACCTACAGGCCACTTGGACTCATCGCAGCTGTAGACATCAAAGTACCACCACACGAACATCAATTAGTCACATTTTTCTTCAATGACGTCGACTCTGGTGACATTTTGGTCACTTCGTCACCCCGTAGCTTTTATTAGGCAACGGGGCGACGTTGTCTGAGTGTCTGATGCATAGCTCTCGCATCAGGCGTGGCTCGCTTCAACAATGGATCTGCTGTTCTCGCTGCTAGGAACACCACACCAGATCAAATTTTACTGTGGCAGGGCACTACTGTTGCCTGCGTTGCATATCTGGAGCCTGTGTGCGTCGTGCCTCTCACCTCTGTCTCCTCTAATGGCCATTCTGCAGATCATGCTGCTTCCTCGGCCTTTACAGCAGCCATCAACAAAAACTTGACAGACTCACAGAAGCAGCAGCTGCTTGATTTGTTCGAAAAGCATGCATACTGTTTTGACATTCATTCATCTACCATGGGCAAGACAACCGCTACCGCCCATGGTATTCAGACCGACAGAACATTCATTGTGCACCGCCGTCCATACCACCTCTCTCTAGCCGAATGAAAAATCATTGAGGAAAACGTAGACGATATGCTGACGGGAGAGAATACGACCCTCAACCAGTCCTTGGTCGTCCCCCATCGTCCTGGTGCGTAAAAAACGACGGTTCTGTACAATCTTGCGTCGATTACCGAGCACCTAATAAGATCACTAGGAAGGACGTGTATCCCATGCCACGCATCGACGACAATTTCGATTCCTT